AACATGTCTCAGATATTTTCAGAGCAGTCCATATGAATATAATTATTTTTTAATGGAGGCATAATCTGCATGTGCATATTTGTCAAGCCCTTCCTCTATTGATGAATATTTAAGTTCTTTCAAATTAATGAAAACAATGCTGCAAAGTCTATGCTCAATATGCAAGTACTGTTTTGGGAAAGATTTCTAAAAGCAGAATTTCTGGGTTAATGTGGATGTACATTTATTATTTTGATAAATACTGTCAAAATGCTTTCCAAAAATACTTTACTAATTTACATTCCCCAACAGTGTAAGTACTTAATATTATTAATGTTTAATTTTTCCTAAGCTGATGGGTCAAAAGTAATATCTCATTATTATTTTAATTTGCCTTTTCCTGCTTACTTGTGAGACTAAGCATCTTTTTATATATTTTTTGGCCATTTGTATTTCTTCTATGAATTAATTGCCATGTCTTTTGCCCATTTTTCTATTAAATTGTTTTTAATTTAATTAGGATTAGAAGAAATTCTATTTCTCATAATATGACTGGCTGGACTCTGGACTGATCTTTCAGAGTAAAATAGTAAAAGTGCTGCTTGAAATACAAATGCAAATTATTTTAAAAGCATAGATGAGCTGACTAGATATCAAGAATTTATTAGGTTACAATCTAAGGGAAGGCAGAAATTTTCAGACAGGGAAATAGAACAAGGACTCTGCTTTAGTCTGAGGATATTTGTTGAATTAGGCAAACTTGAGCTTCAATTTCTGCAGTCTTTATCTTTGAAAGAATCAGGGTGAAGAATTTAATAGTGGATTTCTTTAAAAAGCTATGACTCCAAAAGGTATGCCCTTAATGTAAGATTGAATCTGAAATAAATCCACCCTACTGTCACCTCCAGGAGATTTTAAGGAAAGCTGCCTCAGATCTCAACTAATGAAAAGGCTCTATACCAGAGCTGTAACCACTAGCTGATCCTTGGGCTGATCTGCAGCCCAAATTTACATTATTTTAGGTGATCCAAAACTCTCCAAGTCAGGAATTTAGTTAAAAGTGGTTCAGGACTGTTATGCCTCTAAGAGCCTGGCAGAAGCAAAGTCACGTTCTCTGGAAGAAGATACCTTCATCCTTAGCTTCAAGGAATTTCCAACAAAAATTTTCAGGGAAAATGAATAGGTCACAGTAAAAGACAAAGAAAACCCCATTAAACACAAAAGGAAAAAAGACTTTCATCAAGATCCAGCCCAAATAATCCAAGATAATCTCCCAATCTACAAATCCTTAATTTAATTTTATCTGTAAAGTCCCTTTTGCCACGTGATGTAACATATTCGCAGGTTCTGGGGATTAGGATATGGACATCTCTGGGAAGCTATATTATTCAGCCTATGATAACAATGTCAGTTTATTTCACAAAGTTTCAAAATACTTAAATGGACATATTTAAAATCAAATTAGGCACAACTGAAGAGAGAATTAGTAAACTGGATGACAGACCCAAAGAAATGAACCAGTGTTGTATTAGTCTACTTGAGCTGCTGTAATAAAATACTACAGACTGGGTGGCTTTACAGACTGGGTGGCTTAAATAACAGAAATTTATTTTCTCACAGTTCTACAGGCTGGAAGTCCAAGATCAAGGTGCCAGCAGGTTTGGTTTCTGGCGAGGACTCCCCTTGGCTTGTACATAGCTGTCTTTTCACCATGTCCTTACATGGTCTTTCCACTGTGTTCACATGGGAAGGAGGTGGGGGAGCACACAAGTACACATTGTGGTATCTCTTCCTGTTCTTAAAAGGACAGCAGTCCTATTGGACTAAGGCCTCACTGTTATGACCTCACTTAATTTTAAGTATCTCCATAAAGGCCTGTTGGCCAAATACAGTCACATTGGGGGTTAAGGTTTCAACATGAATTTTAGGGGACACAATTCAGTCCATAACAGATCTCGTCCTTGTACCATATATAAAAGTAAATTCTGGATGGATTAAAAACTAAAAATTAAAAATAAAACTGCAAGGTTAATAAAGGAAATGAAGATCTTTGTGGTCTTAGAGTGGGAAATCTTCTTAAATAAGACCCAGAAGCATAAAGTATAAGGAGAAATTTTGATGAATTTAACCACATCAAGAGTCAGGATTTCTTTCAATGAAGTTCACCACAGATAAATCTAACAGAAAGTTTATAGTACAGTTGCCACAACTAAATCCATCTGAAAATAAATTTATTATCTAGAATATTAAAAGGAATTCCTGAAAAAAATCAATGAGAAAAAGACAAGAAAATTCAATAGAACTTGGACAAAGGCTAGGAACAGGCGATTCATGGGAGGGTAAACAAGGATGGCTATCAGGTATGTGGAGAGATGCCCCCTTGTTGAGAACCAGAAAAATCCAGTGTAAAATAGCATTATCATTTTGTAGTTCTGTAACATCAGATTGACAAAAATTAGAAGGCAGAATAATACAAGTGTTGACAAGGATGTACAGAGACTTTAACATACTGCTGGTGAATACACTGCAAAACAGAGAGCAATCTGATAGTATCCGGTCACTAACATGAATATATCCTATGATCCAGCAATCTCAGAAATGTACAAGGATGTTCACTGCAGTATTATTTGTTAATGGCAGGAAGTTGGAGACAACCTAGGTGTCCATCACTGGAAGGGCAGATAAGTGAAATGTGATGGATATACACTATGGAGTTCTATGTGGCAGAAAGAAGAGGGAAGAAAGAAAGAGGTAAACAGGTATACCCCACATCTTTTATCAAGACAGCAAAGTTTTTCCAGCAACTTTACCCATCAGACTGCTGCTTGCATTTCATTGGCCAAAATTATGTTCACGGTCACACTTAACTAAAAGGTGACTATAGAGGAGGGGGGTTATAGACAGGGATTGCGTAACTAATCAGTGATGTCTAATAGATAATCTAGTAGATTTCTTCCAAGTACTGCACAGAATTCGTGTGCATTCACCACATTGTACTGTGATGGCTAGATGTACAGCAGCTGTTTGTGACCATGAGGAAAAGTCAAGCCATCTCCCATAGATGGCCCTGACATCATCAAGTTACATCAATACTAACATCTTCTTATCCTGAACTTTTAATCTTGTGTGAAGAATAAAACTTTAATTATTTAAGCCACCTGTATCAGTTAGGGCTCAATTGCAGACAATAGAAAGAAATCAGGCTAGTTTACATATAAAGGGATGGAGAAGCAGGCTCTAGGTCCAGGAACGACTCCCAGCTTTGAGAGGCATATGACCTCTCCTCAGATCAGGAAAACAACAGTCACCACTACAGGAAGCTGATGAATCGGGAAGCTGCTCACCAGAGCCTTACTGCATCTGTCATGATCTGTGGCAGCAAAACGGATGTCCCATGCTATTTAGCTCTGTTCCAAATTTATGTATTGGACAAGAGTAGAACCTAAATCACAGATTCCTACCTCAAGGGAATCTGGCAAGTGTCGTTTTAGTTTTCCAGCTCAGCATTTTGGAAGAAACACTAAAAGGAGTTTTGAATTAATGTGGAACAGTCAGTCCGTGGCAGCCACCACACCACTGAGGTCAGCTTTGGGTTACTTACAACCAAAGGCACTCCTAACTGATACACTGCACAGAAGGCAACAAGGACAGGTTTTGAAAACACAGCACTGAGTGAAAAAAAAGTAATACAATTCTAAGGTGTAAGTTAAAACATATACAAATCAAAACTACTTTTTTCAATGAAGTGTACATTTTCAAGGATACATGAGTGCCAATTGGTAAAGAAATGGAGGAGGGGAATGAGCTGTGGGGATCAGTGATAAAAGAGATAAGCTAAATAAGGTAAAATAAAGCAGGAAAGATCTTGTAAGGTCTGATGCTGGGAGTGGTATAAATAAGAGTAATGTGATTGGCTCAATTTTCTACATCTGCGGTCCAAAACCAATTTATTAAATTTAATGCTAATATTAATTTAAAAAATAATTTAACAATTTACTAAATTAATAATTTAATTCGAATAATTAAATCAATGTATTTTAATATATATACAATTTAAATATTTCGTATTTAATTTGCCACACCAAAACTAACCTATTAAACTTACTATATCATAATTTCTGTACTCCTAATTAGGCAATTATTTATGTTTTAATTTTCTTAGAATCTCAAAAAATAGGTCCAGGTGACCCCTGGACACTCCCACTCATCCCCAACACTCACATACATCAGTCCCAGCTCCTATTTAGTAGGACAGGGTCCGCATTCCCACCCTGTCACACCACTACCACGACCTCACCAAGTCCCCCTCCACCAAAGAGGAAGGGACTTCAGGATTTCTGGGCTGGGTTTGGAAACGTCGTGACTCTTCCATCTTTCAAGAGTCTGTTTCTGGTCTTCCCAGAAGGTGGGCAGTGAGAAAAAGATCTTACCCCAAACGGTCTTACTCCGCGGGGGAGGAGCCACCGTGACTCGGGCCCCGCCCACTCTGGACTGGACCTTGGGGCGCGTCTCTGTCGCCTGGAGAGGAGAGCGCCCGCCCCTCCTGGCCCGCATCCTTACTAACCCGGCTTGATCCAGCTCAGTGACGGGGCTTTTGCAGCAGCTCTTTCCTTAAGTCTAGCCATCTGTCACCTGCGTTGCTTCCTGGGGAGAGAGAGTCCATTTCCAGCGCTCCGGAGACCCGGTGAGTGCACTCTCAGGAGTCTGGGGGATGCTGTGGGCCCCAGCAATGACTGCCTTCCTGGGAGCCTCCAAACCCTAGGTAAGGTCCCATGAGAAACAGAAGACCTCCCTTCTTGAATTTCTCTGGGATCCTCATTTACAGTGAAACACTTCTACCCTTTTGGGGCGACTGCCACTCGACCTCCCTGTCTCCACTTGTCCTCCCTCGAACGTGGATGGGGTGGGACACCCTAGTGAGAAAAGGCTTTCCTCCTGGTTAAGGGTTGGGTGATTTGCAGAAGCCAGGACCCCTCCCTGGGATCCAGGGAGACGCTGCTCCCCTCCATTCTGTGTTATAGATGTCAACTGCCTGAGGAGAGGAGACTCACCTTCTTGCCCGCAGGCTGGAAGAGGAAGGGCTGCCACTGCTGAGGAGACAGTTGGACATGTCTGAGGCACTATTCTGCCCTGTCAATGAGACCCCTGACCCAGGCTGCAAGCTGGGGGCCTTGTACTGGGCCTGTGTCCGCAATGACTCTGCCCAGCTCCAAGCTATACTGGATGATGGGGTCTCCCCAGAGGAAGCCACCCAGGTGGACGGCAATGGGAGGGTGAGCTAACCCAGGTGCTTCCTAGGACAGCTGAGGCAGCTCTGTGTCCCCATCACACCACACTCATCCTGAGAGAGTTTCAGGGTCAGCACCCACTGCCTGAGTCCTCAACAGGAAGGGAATTGGGGAAAGTGGGTCTTCACAGGGGCTGGAACATCTCTGGGACAGAAGTAGGTTTAGAGGGCACAGGAGCCCCAAGGAGCTCATGGGGGAAAGCACGAGGGCTGAGCTGCCCCTCCCCCAGACAGGCCTCATGGTCGCATGCTACCACGGCTTCGGGAGTGTTGTGGCCCTGCTCAGTCGCTGTCCTTTCCTGGATGTGAACCAGCAGGACAAAGAAGGGGACACAGCCCTCATGCTGGCTGCCCAAGCAGGTATGAAGTTGCTGACCCCACCCTCTACCAATCCTCCCTATCTCTAGACTGGGACACACCCCACACTCTTTGCATGATGTTTCCACCCCAGACTCTGATGTGTTGGGTGGAGGGTGGATTTGGGGCTTCATCACTCCTTTCTTGGGGAGCCAAGATCTACCTTTGGTGCTCTGCAGGCCATGCACCTCTGGTGAGTCTCCTCCTCAACTACTATGCAGGCCTGGACCTTGAGCGCCGGGACCAGCGGGGGCTAACAGCGCTGATGAAGGCAGCTATGCGGGACCGCTCTGAATGTGTGGCTGCCCTTCTCATGGCAGGTGCATGGGGCATGGCCTCCACTTTCTCCCCCAACAGACACTAAGTCAGCTGTCATAGTCGCAGAGAGGAGAGAGATGGAAATGGAGGATCAGTCTAGGTTGATTCTTTGGAGGAGGGGAGTGTGCTTGGCTTCCCACTATCAACAAAGTCCAGCTATTGATAACTCTATTTACATTACTTATGGTGATCCCAGAAAAGAACGTTTGGGAGGATAACCTAGACCAGCTGGAGAATCTTAAGTGAAAAGGTTGGTATCTGGAAGCAGACTCTGGAGTTCTCATCCCGGCTCTGCCACTAGCTGAGTGACTCTGGGCAGATGGCTTTCCCTTCTGGGCCTCACCAGTATAATGAGGGTGTTGGCCTTCTCTGGGGTGATTTCCATCTCTGACAATCCAGGGATCCAGGATCACAATGATGTGTAGTTGAGACATGTGACTATGTGCAGTTGTCCTGGGACGAAGTCCACACTGTTTGTGGTGTCACAGGCTCTCATTGTTCCCTGAGGTGGGGCTGTCCTCTGTTGGTCACTTTGCAGGAACCCCAGACTCCACCTTTTCCCTTCCCCATCCATCAGATTAGTTTTGGGGTGAGACGGGAGGGAGTTCTGCACCCCTATCTTTGCCTCAGAGTGACTGCTCCTCTCCCTTCCCCAGGATTAGAGGGGTGTGGAAATGAAGAGAAGGACCAGGAGTGGGAATCACTGGGCCCCCTCCCCTTATCCACCTGCCCCAGAGGGTACAGCTTGGGCCTCCCCCTTCTTGAAGAACCTGCATACCACCCCTCTGGTTAGTTCCTTGGTTCAGGGGGTCCCTATTCTGCTCTAGGTTTGGAAATGCCTCATAGGTGTCTCTGAAGTCTTTTTCCCTCTTTATGCTTCAGTTTTCTTCACCCGTCTCAAACAGGAGGTTGGGATCTGGGGCTGGTCCTGTCCCTGGGTTGTAGCCACTGAGGGCTCCCAGATCCTAGCTGCAACGGGATGGAACTCTGGTTTTGAATTTAATCCAAATTAAGTTCTGCTGCTAAAGAATTTGCCCTCCTGCAAATCACCAATCCTTGTCCCCCCCACTCACCCCGCCCCACATCACTCCTGTGCCCCTCCCAGGTGCTGACCTGACAGCAGTGGATCCTGTTCGGGGCAAGACAGCCCTGGAGTGGGCAGTGCTGACTGACAGCTTCGTCACTGTGCAAAGGATCCGGCAGCTGCAGCGGCGGCCCCAAGTGGAGCAGCTCAGCCAGCATTACCAACCGGAGTGGCCAGCTTTGCCTGGACTCGTGGCCCAGGCCCAGGCCCAAGCTGCCCCATCTCTCCTAGAGAGACTACAGACTACCTTGAGCCTCCCTTTCACCCAATCTCCTCAAGAGGGGGGTGTCCTGGACCACCTTGTGACCATCACGACCAGCCTGGCCAGTCCCTTTCTTACCACCGCCTGCCACACTCTGTGCCCTGACTGCCCACCTGCACTGGGCACCCGAAGCAAGTCTGTGCCAGAGCTGCTAGGCACTGCTCCTCCCCCTCCCCCAGTACCTCAGCCCCCCCAGGTAGTGCCTGGCCCCCGGGTCCTCATCCCTTACCAGAGTCCTCAAGGTGTGTTGAGCATGTGCCCTCAGTGGCTACAGCCCAGTTTCAGGCCCCAAGTCCCCAAGATCCTTCTCTCCAAGGCACCCTCATCTCCCAGCCAGAGCAAGCCAGAGCCCAGGCCTGTAGGCCATCGCAGGCTGACCCTTCCTCTCTGGCAATACCAGGAGCTTAGGATGCAGAGGAGAAGGCAGGAAGAGGAGGCCAGGTGGGCACAGAGCCAGGGGAAGATGGGCTAGGCCAGCCTAGGAGCAGGGAATCAGGCCCCTCCCATAGGCTCCTTTGCCCTGTAGAGCCCCTTTTGCCTTCCCATCCTCCTGTAAACCTATGTACAAGGTTATTCAAACAGAATTGTTTGCAACAGTGAAAGAGTGAAAACAACCTAAGTGCCCACCAATAGGACACTGGCTAAATTGATTATGGGTATAACTACTGTATGCCCAATCCTTGTATTCTATATAGTGGTAAAACAGGAGTAAAACAGGTTCTTTATGTTCTGATATGAAATTATCTTCAAAATGTATTCATTGAAAATAACCAAGAGGTGGAACAGTGTGTATGGCATACTACTATTTGTCAAGGTAAAATGTGCACAAAGCTAAACTTAACAAATACAAGTATAGAGTGAGTACCAAGATTCATTTAACTACTTAATGAGTGAACCAGCAGGATGGATCAAAGGAAGACATAAAAATCGTTATTGACAGTCAGTGGAAAAAAGAATGCTGGAATAAGATTGCAAAGTTGATACAAAAAGTTAATTCCTGTCTGACAATAAAACCATAACTATTTTTTTCTACCAGACAAAAATAATTTGCTATTTATCCATCTTCTACAGGTTAATCTCTTAACTTTGCAGAATCTGGGCCCCAATCAATAGTAAACAGTGTCAAACAAAGTGACTTCCCCAAGATGACCCATAGGTGGGGTTATTAGCCAATGATCTAAAATATCTCTGAAAGGGCACTTTGTGATTTTTTTGTGTGCCTTATTTACAAGTTTTGGATATTTTTTCTTAATGCATTTGTTGCATAAGTACATTTGCTTCTATATTTGTAATAATAAAAGCTACTACTTACTATATATATTAATATATATTATATATTAATATATATAATATATATTAAGACATTTAACACTCCCAATAATCTTACGAAGAATTTATCTTTGAGAACACGGGGCACAGAGAGGATAAGGAATTGCCCAGGGTCACATAGCTAGAAACTGGCAGAGGTCAAGATTGAGAGCCAGCCATCTAGTTGTGGAGGCCAGACTCTTAACACTAACGTCTGCTGCTTCTCTGGAACCTCCCTGGAAAGAATCATGGCGGTTTTCTCTGCCAGAAGACTGAACAGCTGACCAGAGATCGAAGGGAGACTTTTCATTGACTGTCTTTTTGAAATTTTTGACTTTTTAAAGAAATAAACTTTATTTTTAGAAAAATTATGAAGATAGAGCAGAGAGTTCCCTTATACCCCATACCCAGTTTCCTCTATTATTAGCATGAGTATAGTACATTTGTTATAATCAATGAACCAGTATTAATACATTATTATTAATAAAGTCCACGCTATTCAGATTTCCTTAGTTTTTACTTAATTCCCTTTTTCTGCCTAGAATTCCATCCAGGATAGTACATTACATTTAGTCTCCATGTCTCTGTAGATTCCTCTTGACTGTGACAGTTTCTCAGACCTTTCTTGTCTCTGATGACTCTGACAGTTTTGGGGAGTGCTGGTCAGGTATTTTGTAGAATGTTCCTCAATTGGGATTTGTCTGATTTTTTCTTGTGATTAGACCGGGATTATGGATTTTCAGGAGGAAGACAACAGAGGTGATATGCTATTCTCATCATATCATATCAAGGGGACATACTATAAACATGACTTATCAAGGTCGAGTTGCCCTGACTGATCACCTGGCTGAGGTTGTGTTCGTCAGGTTACTCCACCATAAAGTTACTCTTTCCTCCCGCCTTTCTATACTGTACTCTTTGGAAGGAAGTCATTGTATGAAGCCCACACTAAAGGAGTAGGGAGTTATGCTCCATCTCCATGGGGGTGGACTATCTACATAAATTATTTGGAATTCTTCTTCACAGGATGTTTTGACTTTTGAATCATGTATTACCAAATTTTGAAAAATTAAAAATAAACCTGTTCGTTGATTAGAGGAACACACACACACACACACACACACACACACACACACACACACACACACATTGAGGTGAAAACAACTATTAGGATTAGATTGTGGTTTCTCCCAGAGGGTTCTGAAGGGAACCATCGTGGACTGGAATGGGTTCAAGGCTAACTTTGCCATTTCCCACCTGTGCGATCCCGAATAAGGCACATAAATTTCTCTTGCCTCCATTCTCATCTGTTCAACGGGGGGAAACAGGGTTATTGGGATGATCCGTTAGATAACATGGGTAAAAAGGCTTTGTATATGTAAAGTGCTACCAAGAGTTGTGCTATGAAAGGGTCCTGGAGAACTGAGTTTGATTGAGCCACTTCAGGGCCTCCAGAGTGGAGCCAGAATTCTTACCCCCACATCTACTGCTGAAATTGAAGCACATAAAGCCAGCACTGGCATTGGGCATAGGTGACAGGGAAAGAACTACATTTACAGGCTTGAAACAGCTTGGTGGTTACACTTTTTGGCCTAAAAGTTGGCCTGTGACCTTGGGCAAGTTATTTAACCTTTCTGACTGAATCTCAAGACTCGCATGTCTAGAATGGAGATAATAATAACATCACCACAGGGCTGTTGTGAGAATTAAATGAGATAATGCAGCACTTTTCACTATGCCTGGCCTGATCAATGCCATCATTATTCTATTCAATCCCCACAACCTTCCTATTTTATAGTTGAGGAAACTGAGGCAATAAAGGTTAAGCAACAGCTGGTAAGTGGCTAAGTGGCACTTGGAGTTTAAGTCTGTGGGACTCTGAAGCCAGTGTCTTTTCCACAGCAGCACATGGCCTCTGCCCATAGCCTGGGTTCCCTGTTTCTCTGAGACTCTCCCTCCCACTTCCAACCAGCTTGAATTTTACAAGGAAACAGGGGTGACTGCAGAATCTTCAGGGCCAGAGAACTAGCCCTCTGTGGTTTTCTCCCTCCTGGCTGACATGGGGTGGACTTTGGTCAAGAGGCTGACCAGGCAGTAATGCCTGGGCCCCAGGTCGGACAATGTGTATAGAGGCTCCCAGCAAAGGGAGCCTCTCCATCTTGGAGAACACCCACCCCTCCATCCCTGGCCATCTCCAGGGCAGCTACAGTCCCAGGCCTGCAGTCCTCCAATTCCTGCTCTGAGGCCACACCATCTCTCTCTAATCCTCTAACAGCTCTGACAGCCTTGCAGGCTACCAGAGAAGAAAGAGGCCTATGTGGGCTGCTCTGCCTGTGCCACCCAAAGTGAGCCTTTCTCTCCACTAACATCCGGGCTTCTCCCTGCCCCAGCCCAGCTCTTGAGGCTTCTCAACTGAGTTCCCATCAGCAGAGCCAAAGGAACCCAGGATAAGGCCCCTGGCTGTTCGGAATACAGGCCACAGCGAAGCTGCCCTGCAGACTTGGGTTTGAATCCTGATCTTGCCTCTTATCATCTCTGCCACCAGGGACCTCTCCCAGCCTCAGTCTCCTCATTTGTAACATCAAATGGCAATAATATATAATCGCTACTTCCAGGGTGGTCGTGTTCCTAAACATTGAGAAGTATGTGAGGCAGTGAGTGCCGCCTGGCTCAGCGCCCAGTAAACAGCAGTTTTCGTTCCTGTGCTGAGTGGCAGGGTGAGGAAATGCCAAGGGGACAGCTCTGTGGAGGAGGCCAGCGGATGTGTCTTTGGAGCCTCATGGCCTCCCCTGTGATTCTAGGATACTATACTGGCGGCTCTTAAACAAAAACACACATTTATCCCATTTAGCCTTCTCAGACCAGTTCCTGCATGGCTCTGCACTCCCAACTCCAGGCTCACCCCCCATTCCTGCAGCACCGATGGCCGGACACCCTGCTCCCTATGTGTACATGTGTCCACTCCACACCTTGAGGACCTCCTATAGAAGGGCCAGCAGAGTTGGCTATCCTGATACATACTAGAATGTCAGCCAGGCATGTGAGAACTCTTGGGGAACCCTCTCCTCACTTCTATGTGGGCAGAAACCATTTCTATCTCCCTAACTCCTGGCTCAGTGCCCAGCCTGTACAGGTTCAATAAATGTGTATAGAAAAGAACTGAATTCAGGCTCCATCAGTGTCCGGGCTGCTTAGAGGGGCCTTTATCATCTCTTTCCTCCTCTCAGGGGCTGATCTGGTTCCAAGAGTGGCAGTGACCCCAGTAATTCCAGAGCATGCTCCAGGAAACTCCAGTTGGGTCAAGAGAAGGCAAGGGGACACATATATGTGGGGAGAACAGAAGGACAGATGGAAACTCATAGGTTCCCCAATGGGGGCATCTAGAAAGGATTCCCTACTCTCCAGCAGTCATACATTCCAAATGGTTGAAAACATCCATGCATCTTTCACCACACCAACCACCAGGACAGCCTCACCCCTCCCCACAGTTTCCCCTCCATCCCCCTGGCCCATCCCTCGCTCCAGTCAGATCT